CAACACGCTAGACTGCCACTTTTTTTTTGAATTGGCTGCCCCAGAACAACGTGTAGCTTAATTAATTACCCCCTATTACAACAGAATCCTAGCTAGTGCATGAATTTGGTGATTTAGTTGAGACGTGACATCCCCTGGTTTTACCTAATTTCCTTCCCCCCGCGATTAACCAACGAACTTACGTCTCCTTTTTTATTATAGCAGTACTCTTCTTACCAGTTTCCTTTGTGTGGCTTCCAGGTTACTCGTCACGCGGACCTGTTTGACATGTGTAGTGTTTGTTTTGACCTCATCAATTGCGTGATTATTAAGAATCCACTTTCTTTACTTTTACGTTTTCCTTTTCATTTTTCATTGCGCATTTTGTTGTTTTCTTTTTCTAGACAACCATATCAGAAATTAATAATTGTTCTTTTTCTTTCTTCCTTGTTCTTATATACATATATATATATATATATATATATATATATATATATATATATATATATATATATATTGTAGTTGACAACATACAAGAAAATTGTTGAATGAGAGCGGAGAATTGGCAAGCAGGATGTTGAAATTTGCAATCGATAAAATAATAGCTGTGAGATACCTTAAGGATTAATCTTTTCTACACTGACAATATATATACTATCAGCGTCGAATGAATAACAATTATGTAAATTTTGAATTTGTAATTCAACTTTTGCACACATGTCATTAATTTAATGATGATAGTGTATACACTGTCAGTGTACATAAAATTTACTCATATCTTAATTGCATCGTAGGAGGACATTGATTTTAATTAATAATACGACTACTAGTAATTTCTTTTTATTTTTATTTTTTTTGTAAGTGCGAGGTTTTCAATTTAGAATCTTTTACTTACAATTTCTTCCATATTATCATTCAACCCAATCCCTACCCAATTAATACAACTACTAGAAACGACACCACGCTCGAGTTTTAAGACATAATTTAGGGTTTGTATAAATTAGATATTTTTTGAAGTATTTTTAAAAAATTATACTATGACATATTGTGTTTCAAAGACTTTCACTGTAGATGGTTTGTATGAATTAAGTGTTTTTTGAAATGTATTTTGAGATATTTAGGGGAGTAGGTGGGGAAGCATCAACTAGCACGTACGTACAAGGACATGTAGAAAAAATAAGGCCTTGCTTGGATTGCTGTTTTCCGTAGAAAAATTTCGTCATTTTCCGTGAACACATTTCCCTATTACCTTTTTTCCTCACATACATCAAATCGCTACAGTAATTTTTTTATGAAAAATGATGGAAAATGCAATCCAAACAGGACCTAATTTTTCTGGTTATGGTTCCTTAGCACGTAGTCAGCATATCATAGTTAAGGGGTTCGCTTAAGGATGCACGTCCCATCACATGCTGTAAACTCTCTCCATTCCATAAAATAGGTTCACTTTCACTTTCACAAAAATAAAGACGGATAATACTTTCATTATATGCCTTTCCATTCATATTTGTATCAGTGTTGTATCTATTACTTCTAATAGAATGGTTGACTGATAGAATAGCATATTTATTAATTAAGATGCATATTAATTAACTACGGGTATAATAATAAATTTATACACAAACTATCCTTCTAAAATGGAAATAGGTTAGGGTTATCAATAGGATTGTGCTGGCCCAAACTCGGCCTGAAAGAAATGTAATTCTAGGCCGGCAAAGTTTAGGCCTACATTTGAGGTCTAATTAAAATGTGAGTCGACCGAGTTTAAGCCTCTATAGGCTCAACTTGATTAAAACTCGACCAGTTATATATATATACACATATACACACCCTGACGCATATAACTATAAATGTATTATTTTTAAATATGTAATGTATAGTTAGATTATTAGTAATTAGTATTGGTTTTGAAGAGACTTAGATTCATTAAATAAATATATATAAACAGAAAATCCTAATTAGGAGTCTATTTACTAATGACTGTTACTGTTAGTCCATTACATGATTTGAAACTAGAAGCCCTAATCCCTATTCTATCATCAGAAAACTTTTGGTTTATGTACTTTTAAAAGAATTAGACACAATTGTTGTCTGAGAACTTTTGGCTTATGTAGTTTTAATGAACATTTCAGTGATTTATGTGTAGTTTTAATATTGTAGAGTGCAAAATAACTTTACTATTTAATGGTTATAATGCACCATTTGGTACCGCTCACCCACCTATGATTTGATTTACTACTGGCATGGTAATAGACAGAGTTGGGGGCAGCAGGAGGAGGGAGATGGCGGTACCAGTCAACCTCAACACACCCTCCCTCGGACTTTGCGTGGTTGCGAAGTGGAGGCAGAGCACACATGCACTAACGCCTTAATTATGTATGCCAAAAGCATAGCCAAGCCTACCAGCACATTTGATAACATTCAATAATATTAACCCGGAAAGGGGCGTTGAATTAAGTACGATGAATCATGTCCGTGCACAACTACAGTTTGAAGCTACCGATTCGAGTAAATTTAAGCGTAAACACGATCAATCGCCAGTCAAATGCTGAAATATGCATATGCATGAATGAATGTATGGGTTTCTTTACTTAGTACTCAGACACCCCAAAGGGCAACAATAAGGGAAGGAAGGACAGTTCTCATTTTTAGCACGGGCAAGGAGATGAAGAAAAGTGTATGTAGCTTGAGACAGAACAATGGCATGTGACCGCTCCTGAGACCACATAACGTGGGGTGGGGATGGGACGGCCAAGATTGAAGATGCCTGTCAGTCTCTCTGTGTTATGAATCCCGTTAACCAATTCAAGATAAGCCAGAAGTTCTTTTCATCCCCAAACCCTGTCCCATCTGTGTAAATCCAACATCATTTTACGACCTGCAACTCAGGTTAAGCATGTTCTATTGAGATTCACACACCACCCTTCAAAAGATATACTGTGAAACCAGCAGCTTAATATCATTGTATAAAAAAAAAAAAAAGAAAGAAAGGAAAAAGGAGCGAAATATTACTAGTAATTAGCAACACATAACACGCCGCAGTTGGCTTTATTTATTTGTTTTTGTAAATTCCCTTGTACGTTACTGGTAAAATGCAAATCCATATATAGATTCATATAGATTTATGAAAAAACTAGGCTAAACCCTAAACCCTAAAATTAAGAAATCTTGTGAAGTTGAGATCGAGGGGGCAATTTTGAGAAATCTTGTAAAGTTGTTGGGGGGAGGGGGGGGCAATTAGTTGCTCATCCTCTAGACAATAACAATTAATGTTAGTGGGGCGTTATGCATATTTGTAACGTAACTCAAACTTCTTTGGTTATTAAAAGTTTGCTTCCGATTTCCTCAACCAAAAGAAAAAAGAAAGTTTGCTTCCGATCGAGCCAACAAAGAGATGATGACGGAGTTAATCCGGGTTGCAGTCGTCTACCACTAATACAGCAGAATTTTCCATTTAATCTGCTCTGTTTCAGTATCAAGTAGAGGACTGTAGGAGTAGCACGTACGTAGTTGAACAAGAAGATTGAGTAGCATTCATGCAGGGAAAAAAGCAAAAAGTCGATTGTGGCTCAGATTACGTGTGGAGTGGAGCCAGGTTCCAGCTTGGTTTGGGATAAAGGTACGTAGCAGCAGTACCATTATTGCTAATTTGAGTAATTGACAATTCCCAGATCCCATATTCAGTCACTTTGGGGGGGTTTCATTCTGCACTCCTATATCATCCCCTTTCTGTCATCTTTTAAATTCCAGTCCCCACCGACCGACCTGCTGCTCTCGCCTTCTACGACACCTCCTCCCCCTTCCCCCACCCAAAAAAAAGAAAAGGAAAAAGAAAAAAAAAAGAGAGTTGTGAATACTAGTAATTAATTTCAGTCCCTCCTTACCAGTTACCACCGGCCAAATTAAAGAGAAGAGCAATTGTTTACTAGCTGTACTCTACAATGACTTGCAATCTCCATATCCATCTTCAATTTAAGGTTGTCCACCGCTGAAGTATTATAGTAATAAATTTCTGAGAGTTTTGTAAGGATACTGGCATTGCAAAAGCGTCGGAGGTCCAGGACAGCGAGCATAATAATAATGTACGATGTAGGGGGCCTCCAGTCTCCAGGGAAAATATTGCTAGTAGTAGCTTATGGGTTCTGTTTTGCGTAAATTAGATCAAGACTTCCTCCAGTCCAGGTACATCTGAATCCTGAATGTGAGAAGTTGTAGAGCAGAAGGAGTTACTGTGGGGATTAGGTTTATTTACGTAAGTTCTTACTTCAGTAAGAAAATGTCAGAAAAAAGGAATCATCAGTCGTCAAAAAACTGGTAGGGCGGAATATTCAATTGATCGCCTCATTGGTTACCTTTGATTGAGAGAAAGGATGCAGGCATGCGACTAAGTATTTGTGAGTTGTGTGGGGTTGAGGGGGGGGCTGTGTCTGTCTGTCTCGGCCATATTCCATATTTCCGTTCTCTTCATCTCACAAAAAATCACAGCTCGCAATGCAAAATGCAGCAGCAGCAGTAGTACGTAGAGTCTGAGAGCCAGTCCACCCACTCCCTCTCTGTGTTGGGTTGCCATCTAATCCGTTTGTCTGTCTGTCCATTTGTGTGTCGATACAGTAAAAGACAACCAACCTTATGTTATGAACTTATGATATGCCAAAACGAAAACAAATTGAATACCAAAATCAGAACCCCAACTCTTCTTTTTAATCTTTTCGTCTTCTAATGAAAAAGGAAAAAAGTTATTTGATCCGACTGACTAGGTGGTTCCATCCATCCCTCTCGAAAAAACATCCCCCAAATTACTTTTGTGTAAATGTGCTCTTCTTCTTCTTCTTCTTCTTGTAAACTGGAGTGGTAGTAACAACATTGAAATTCTACTAGCAGTATATACTCAATTAGATAGATGCTAGCATATACTAACTCCGCACCATCCACCCAAATTGCTTACTAATCGATCACATTTCCAGTTCCTCCCCCCCAAAAAAAAAACGCCCCTAGGGAGTAATTAATTTAGCAGCAAAAAAAAAAAAAAAAAAAAGAGTAGTGAGGGGACTGCTATGGTAGCAGCATCGATAGCACCGCACATGAGAATGAGTGGGCTTTTCCGATCCAAGTCTTGCACCCTCCCTCCCTTCATCCCCACCCCCACCGCTCCTCCTCCTTCCCATGATGACTCTTTAGGCATCCTCAGACCAACATCCCCTCCTACCCGTTCTCGCTACCCCCACCACCACGAGGACGAAGACGACGAAAAAGAAGAAGAAGAAGACGACGACGACTACTACCAAGACAGGGTGGAAGAGGAGGATGGATATTTCCTGGTCAAAAAGAATCACAGCCCTGCTACGACGCCATTTATTGGGTTGGAAGAGCGCAGGAGCAGCAGGAGACACAAGAGCTGCAGTAGCACCAGTCGTCATCATCACCGTGGTGATCCTGATGATGGTCAGTTTCCTCCCGGGGGATTACTGGCCATTGTGGTCGCGGCTCTGAGGAAGTCTCTGCTGGTCACGTGTAGCGGTCTTGACCTTGACACCGATGCTGCTGATGACGTCTCCTCCTCCAACCACCTCGACATTGGCTGGCCCACCGACGTCCGCCACGTGTCCCACGTCACCTTCGATCCCTTCCATGGCTTTCTCGGCTTGCCCCACGACCTCCAGTATCATCTTCCCCGCGGCAACATCGTCCCCAGCGCCAGGTCCCCTCTTTGTTTCAACCTAATCATCCAAAAAAGAAAAAAAAATCCTTTTTTTTAATACAATGTATTTACTTATTGCTGTAGCATTAGATTCTTGCTCGCTTCACTTTCTTCTTCATTTAATTCCCAAGAGATCATTGTACAAATAACACATCTGACGGGTGAGCCTGATTTCTGCTGTGGATCTGAGATCATATCTGCTTTCCAAAGTATTTTTTTCACTACTACTACTAGTATCCTATCTTCTTTGCTTGCCGTGTTTCACTGCCTTGCGCATGTATGGTTTTGTGGTCAGATGATTTTACTGTTAGTCACCTGTCATGTTTCTACTAAATATACTAGTGCACTTAATGACTCCCACAAATGCTATTTCAATGCTCAGGGATCTTATCCAATAGTACTAGTTGATAAGCAATTGGATGACAAATTTTTTTTTTTTTGGCTGGATTTATTTGGGTTGTTTTACTACTGCTATTGCCAGTCAATCTAGATGTATAGGCGATACTGGGATAGTTTCTTCACTAATTGTGATGTTCATATTATCAAAGGGTGCTCTGGTAGATGCTTCCATAATGTCATCCAGAAATTCATATTCCACGCTATCTTTCACTACCGTCACTGTTTGTTGCAATGTAAATTTGGGAATGGCCATTCTTTTCCCTGTTCTCTTCGATATTGGAGGTAAATTTGTTTCTAAATCTTACCGGACTTCATAAAACGCCATGTTGCAACTATCGTTTTGCACTGATAACTCTTGTTGGAAGGACTGGAAAGTAGAGGGTGGTGGGGTTAGGAAGGTTTCTCTAACCTTCTTGTTTGTGTCTCACTCAGAAATTCCATTCAGAATTTTTAAATTCAGTAAATTTCATGGTTATTTGGGTGCCCTATCAGCCTAGGGATAAGCCAAAGAGGCATGGTTTTTCACTGATATTAATGAGTGGTTCCAATCTGCACTTGTGATGTTAGAGCACAGTAGCAGTTTTACCATATTCCTGCTTTACTCGCGTAGATAGCTTGGTCTGGCACTTCATCTATGATTTTCTTTTCCCTTCTTACCCTGTTGCCCCATTTGCAGTGCAAGTGTATTTGGAGTCTCAGCCCAGTCAATGCAGTGTTCTTATGATCACAGAGGAAACAGTGTCCCGACAATTCTTCTGATGATGCAAAATCGTTTGTACTCAGAAGGCGGCCTAAGAGTATTGTTTTTATTATCTTACACTTTTGATGATTGCTGTAAAAATTTGAAAATAGTTGACGTAATTTTTCCTGCTTTGCTTGAAGGCTGAAGGAATATTCCGAATAAATGCAGAGAACAGTCAAGCAGAAAATGTTCGAAACCTGTTGAATAAAGGTGTTGTCCCATGTGGCATCGATGTCCATTGTTTGGCAGGCTTAATAAAGGTGTTGTCAAGTTAATATCTCACATTCCTCTGCCTTTACAAGAAAACTAATCCTTTCCAGAAAAGTGGCTTTCATTATGTGATATCAAAGCACACACACACACACACACATATATATATATATATATATATATATATATATATATTGTCAAATGGCATTGTATTATATCATTAAAACTTGATAGTTACCAAAAGGGACAACTGCCCTATGATGTCAAAGCATTTATAAGAATACTGAAACTGTGAAATGCTATCAGACTGTTAGAAGTGTTTAAGTGAATCTTGTGAACCAGAAGGAGGTACATCTAAGGTTGAACGTGCCATTACAGCCACCAAACTTTAATTGACAGTCAATGATCTGAATGCCTAATATTTCGCATTTTCTCAAAATCAATGAATTATTCTCTGTTAAATTTCCTATCTAATGTTTTGCAGACAAAACGTGAATTTTTTGGATGCATGGCTTGCTTATCAAATAATATTGATGCATAAAATTTTAAATGAAATTAAAAATATCTTGGATGAAAAGAGAAAAGAGGTAGTTACCAAATGAATGTATTGGGTAGCCTAGTTGTTGAACTTTCTTGGTTGGATCTGACGTAACCTAAGGCACCATTCTGTCCTCTTCTAATTTTGGCAGCAGCAATTGTTTTCATGTTAGTTTTTTATCAGATGAAATGCGATTTTTGATCCCATCCCCAAAATTTTCTGGTCTGAATTTAATCCATTGTGAATATAACTATGGCATATCTTACTCTCTTAGTAATCTGATGTAACTTTTATTTGCCTTTGTGAGATTTATTGGGCATTCCTTGGGTTTTACCTGATAATGATTTTTGAAACCCGGTGAATTTTCAGGCTTGGTTTAGAGAACTCCCCACTGGGGTTCTTGATTCTCTGACTGCGGAACAAGTGATGCATTGCAACACGGAAGAAGAGTGCACACAACTTGTGAAATTACTTCCTCAGACCGAAGCTGCATTGCTTGATTGGGCAATCAATTTGATGGCAGATATTGTGGATTTTGAACATTATAACAAAATGAATGCACGGAACATTGCTATGGTGTTTGCTCCAAATATGACTCAGGTGCTCTGGTGGTTCTACACTATAAATATTTGAGATTTCGCTTGTTTAATGTATTTCCCTTCTTTTGTGGTTAAATTTTCATCCCAGCTTCACAAATTGTGTTTGGTTCCTGTTTTTAAGCATTCTAGACGATAGAATATCAGAGGCTTCTTTAGCTTTGGAGTGAGGTCTGTTAACGATTTTGCGAATAATTTACTCGAGGAAATAAGTTAGGAATACAGTTTTTTTAGTTGTTTATCATCACTGATTGACTTCTAGGCAAGCTAAACACTTGCTTAAACTTAGGCCGACCTATAGTCCTGGATTGGGGCTTGAGATGGGTTTGATTGTGTTGCTGTGTTGGCATCATTGCCATGTCTGTCTGTCCTTAAGACTATCCACGAGAGAATTGTATGCTTTTCTGTTAGTTTGTTGAAGTTTAGCTGTGTGAGTTGTTTAATTAAGATGCTATTGAAATTTATGCAGATGGCCGACCCATTAACTGCATTAATTCATGCAGTCCAAGTTATGAACTTCCTGAAGGCACTGATAATCAAAACTCAGAGAGAGAGAGAAGAATCTGCTTCCAGGATTACTTTACTATCATCGGCTACTCATTCGCCGACCCACAAGGACATATATTCCTCAGACTCAGGTGTATTGATACAATGCCACCAGGGCCTTTATGGCCATTGCAGCGAGGGATCTGGCACTAGTGAACTTTTCAGAAGCGGGACTTCTGACCACATAGAATCTGCCAGAGCAGATCAGCGGAACTTCAAAAGTAAGAGTGATGCCAAGCAGGAAAATGAAGCCGTTCCAAGTAGGATATCAACAATTATGCGCAAAAGCGATGATCTGGAAAGTGGTTTGCGAGATGATGGTTTGGAAAACATGGAAGTTGAGGAGGGGTTATTTGATAAGCTGAGTTTGAGGAAAGGGGTGCGAAAGCTCTGCAGATATCCAGTGTTGCACCTAAGTAAACCACTTAAGAAAAGTGCGAGTGTTGGAATTGTAAATACCAGAAGAGGGGGAGAAGCCTGGGCATGAAGAAATCGCTACACTCACCGAGATCTATGATTTTATTTTCATTGTCGAGATTCTTGATAAACGTTTGAAACATTGAAGCATTGTTTGATATCAATAATAATGTAGGCGTAGAAAGAGTTGGGAGCTTGTAGATTTTAGACTCCGTCTGATGCCAACTGAAGAATGTAGGTGTACGTACGTCTTGAGACTTCATAGTGCCGCTGTCAGTCTATGTATAATGTTCAAGGCATTCTCTTAAGACTTTTGTAGCGTAATCAGCTTGGTCACCACAGTCAAGGAGAAAGATTCCCGCAGATCAGCAGGCAGATGTCTACGATATCATCCAGTTTTTGGTTCGTATGTTTATATATAGTATCAGCTGGTAGATTACGCCAGTGTTTCGTTTAAAAAAAATTAATTTTTTTATTAGTAGCGGATTAAAATAATCTTTAAGCATTATGAATCAAAACTTTCTTATCGCATTATCTTTGTATTAGATTTATTGGATTACATTCTATTTAATCATTATAATCAATTTTGATGAATTCCTAATTTAATTAATAAGAATAGGATAAGGCAGTAAAGAGGGAATGAACTTTAAATTGTGAAACATCATCCAGGAACCGAAAAAACTTGCAACAACAACAAAATATGGACAACGAGAATCCGTATGCGCACCATATTAAAATAAAAAAATTAAAAAAAAAAACTACTCTACTAAATGGTTTTGTTAGACCTTATCCATTTTACTAAATGGTTGTAATTGGATTGGATTAATTTGTCCATTAAAGAAAAATCATTTACCAACCATTCGGCCACTTGTAGCCGGATCGATGAATTATTATTGTCTTCTTCGCATTGGACCATGGAACTAGAATTGGGTTTAGATGTTAAAAAATAGGAGGTTAATGCTGTAAATTAGTTATATACACTAACAATCGAGACATTAACGTTCCTTAAATGTATATGTATACAGCTACTGGCCATTTGGTCCAGTGGTCATCACCTCTTTGGTGATGCTGGAGGTCAGGGTTCAACTCCTGCCTCCCACAAACTTGCCACTTTACGTGGCTGGTTTTCTACCCCCATGGGATAGCTCGAGCGGTCCGCTCCCCCTCCTTAGGGTATGGTGACCTTCCTAGTTTGTCCAGAGTTTGAATCCCTCAGGCCCCGCCTGTGTTGACAAAAAAAAAAAAAAAAAAGTATATGTATACACTGGTGTTATCGTCGGTGCTTACGAAATTAACTTATAGTAAACAAAAGGCTCAAAGCATACTACTGATTTAAACTTTTGGGCATGAGTTAAGAGTGTCGGATTTGGGATCTTATTGGCGAGTTGTCACGAATTTCCTCCCTGATACAAAGACAAGCATTAATCTCACCTTGCACGCAAACTCTCCAACACAGAAGAAAAGAGGGGAAAAAAAAAAAACCAAAAGTGGAAAGTAAGGGTCAATTGGCTTGCAAGGTAAAAAGGGTACGGGTTCATTCCCCTTGCATTTTTGGTTTGTATGTACTGCTGTGTTTGTTGTTTAGGGTGCCGAAAAGAAGGGGAATGAATGAACACCAGATTTCTACTAATTCAATCACTACTTCAACCTGTTACCTATTGAACCTGGAAAACGGACAAAATATATATATATATATCCAAGAAGTCCAAGTTGTACATTTGCCCGCGACGCGACTTCTTCAACGTAAACGACCACGTGAGCCGTGTAAATCCAATATTCTGTCCAAAAGTAAAACTCCTCCGTCTTGTTTCCCACTCTTCACAGTTCACACCCTTCCTGGGTTTGTGTTCTCATCTGCCAACACGTGCGATTATTGATACACTACTACCAGATTCACCTAGCGGGATGGAATGAGAGATGAGCTGGATAGTTTAAAAAAAAAAAAAGAAAATAACGTAAATGAGAGGTTCGAGTACGAAATTTTTTACTTATAATAAAAAAAACAAAATATACACTCGTGACTCCTCCTACAGTCCTTTCAATACAATTTATTACTACTATTATTATGTAAACCAAATATAATCTGCCAACACTTTGTCCCTTTCCCAACCCTATCCCAGGATGTAGGACCTCTTTCAATTGTGGCCTTTAAAACCCCCGTCACGAAGTCGACAAATATTTAACAAATATAAGGACAACAAATCGAATGAAACCAAAAAATAAATAAATAAATAAATTGGTATAAGTGGAAAATAATCAAATGATATGAAAAGAGAGTACAGGCATTCTTGCATTGAGTAGCTGTTGAAGGAAAAGAGAGGAAATTCACATATACTACTGTTTCGTTTCCGAAGAAGACTAAAAAAACCTCCCTGAGATTTATGACACTAATACCCACCTCTTCTGCGATTTAAGAAATAGCATTGCCCTCCCTTGAACTTACTGATTCTGTTGCATATTCAGTCCAGGTTAGAAAAAAGTGCCATTAAAATATTATTTTAAGAAGTGAGATGAGAAATTTGTGTCAGATTTGTCCTTTGTGCTGCATGTCAAGTAGCATTAGCAAATGAACGACAAAGTGCCATAAAGCAATTAACAAGTAATAAACTTCAGAGGGTGTCGTTTTATGGGCAAACGGGTATTACCTATTCAAAATACCAGTTCTTTATGGGTATTTTACTCTCAAACATTTAATTTATGGTAAATACATAAATGTTTGGAAGTAAAATTCAAAAAGTGTTATAGTAATATTCTTATCAAAAGCAAACTGGTAGGTTATCCATTTAACATAAATTAAATATTTAAAAAAAAAAAAATTGCCCATAAAGTATCAACTCTTTATGGTTTTCCTCCATTACATGAACAAACTGACGCCTCTTTATGAGCATTTTATTCTGAATCATGTAATTTATGTTAAATACATAAATGTTTGTAAGTAAAATTCAAAAAGTGTTACACTAATATTTTTATGGAAGGAAAACTGGTACGTTTTGTATTTAATATAAATTAAATATGTGAAAGTAACACTTACAAGTAGTTTAATTAGTTATTTAATTTGTTGACAAGAAGCAAGGTTTTTTTTTGCAAAATTCGTTCATTGGGTTTATCCAAATAATTAGGATATAAAGGTAAATTCCCACAATCTTTTGTCGGCAATAGGCCCTAATTTCCTCCTAGGAGAGGTCAGTACTATTTCTTAAATCATACGAGAGGTGAGTGCTACTGTCAGAAACCTCAGGGAGGTTTCTGCAATTATCTCCTAAAAAAATAACATAAAAATTCTAAAATGCTCATATAATTAAGGTATTTTTTAATAATTTGGAATAATTCAAATTCCGACACCACTAACTCCGGGGCTGCTGGGTTCAGACTTCAGACACGAGGCCAAATCTGAAATCCCTCGCCGAAACTTGACAAAATTGAGTCCATCTAAGGAACAAGGCAATGATAGCCCCGGATCAAAGGCCCCACTGTTATTTAGCCACCAATTGCTACGTCACTCCAGGCCCCGATCGCTTTCGCTTCACGTGCTCTTTCCGGTCTAACCAATAACAAAATAACCAAATGGGTCCCCCTCCACGTATGGTTCGTACACTTCGTGATTCAGCCTTTGCACTAGAGCCCTTTTTTAATACAAAAAAAAAGCCTTTAACACTAGTTCTTGTTTTTCTTTTTTAGCCTTTGCACTAGTTACTACATCGTGGCGTAAATTCCTTTCTTTTCTTTTTTTTAAGGGATAATTTCAAAAACCTCCCCTGAGGTTTCTGACATTTACATTCACCTCCCCTGTGGTTTGAACAATTACACTAACCTCCCCTGAGGTTACTAATCCTTTACAAATTCAGTCCAAATGATTAAAATATTGTTTTAGAGAGTGAAATTAGAATTTTGTACCTGATTTGCCCTTTGTGCTACATGTCCAATGAATGACAAAGTATTACAAATTAATTAATAATTAATAATTTTTAAGGAGCGTAGTTTATAGGCAAATACGTATTACTTATTTAAAGTACCAGTTCTTTACGGGTAGTTTACTTTCAAACATTTACTTTATTACAAATATTCATTCTCAAATACAGATTAGTATTTACTCTCAAATATTTAATTTTTGTTAAATAAAAACCTACCAGTTTTTCTTTCGTAGAAATATTAATATAACACTTTTTCAATTTTAGTTATAAATATTTATGTATTTAGCATAAATTAAATGATTCAGGATAAAATACTCATAAAGAGCTAATACTTTACTCATGTAATGGATGAAAACCATAAAAAATTAATACTTTATGGGCCATTTCTTTTTTTAAAAAATATTTAATTTATATTAAATAGATAACCTACTGATTTTCTTTTTGCGAGAATATTACTGTAACACTTTTTAATTTTTAATCACAAACGTTAATATATTTATCATAAATTAAATATTTGAAAATAAAATATCTGTAAAGGGCGGGTACTTTAAATAGGTTATGTGTATTTGCCTATAAACTACACTCCTTACTTAAATCAATAAACTACACTCCTTAACTTAAATCAATAAACTATACTTTACTCATTTATGAGTATTTTATCCTGAATCATTTAATTAATGCTAAATACATAAATATTTATAACTAAAATTGAAAAAGTGTTATATTAATATTTCTACGGAAGAAAAACTAGTAGGTTTTTTATTTAACAAAAATTAAATATTTGAGAGTAAATACGAATCTGTATTTGAGAATAAATATTTGTAATAAAGTAAATGTTTGAAAGTAAAATACCCGTAAAGAGTTGGTACTTTAAATAAGTAATACGTATTTGCCTATAAACTACGCTCCTTAAAGTTTATTAATTATTAATTAATTTGTAATACTTTGTCATTCATTGGACATGTAGCACAAAGGGCAAATCAGGTACAAAATTCTAATTTCACTCTCTAAAACAATATTTTAATAATTTGGACTGAATTTGTAAAGGATTAGTAACCTCAGGGGAGGTTAGTGTAATTGTTCAAACCACAGGGGAGGTAAGTGTAAATGTCAGAAACCTCAGGGGAGGTTTCTGAAATTATCCCTTTTTTTAACCATCAATTCCTACATACACCTTCTCTACCCCGAACTACTAGGGTACGTGATTCGAATCATGAACCATGGTGTGATTAGAATATGGGATAATTTTTAGGAAAACCTCCCTTAAAATTTCTAACAATATCACTTGATACTTTTGAATTTTAAAGAAATCTGACTTGTTTTTTTTTACTTTAAGTTTTTGGTAATATTTGAGACCCATTTGAAAATATAATATTTAAAATTTCATTTTAAGAGAGAATATAATCTGGTTTGAAATTCTTTCTTTTTCTTATGTTTTCTTAATTATCATAACATATTAATTCTATCTCTTAATCTGGTTTAAATTTTTTTTTAATAATTTCATTTTGACCCCATATTATTTTAAATTTATACTAAGAAGTAAGACTACAAA